AATGTGTGTAATACGAATACGCTCAAAGCTTTGCAACATTCGCATTGTTAATGTACATGCGCCTATTGAAAATAGAATCACGAAAGAAAAATATAACTTCTATGGCACCTTGGAGAATGTATTTGATAAATGCCCGAAACACGACGTAAAGAATATTATTGGAGATTTGAGTGCAAAAATCAGTAAGGCGGCAGTGTATAGAAAATAGGCAGGAAAATAAAGTCTACACGACATTTTCAATGACAACGAATAAAGATGAACAATTTTGCCGCCTCGAAGGACCTAATAGAGGGGACAATGTTCGACAGAAAAAATATTCTTAAATTGATATAGATATCACCAGACGATGATATGAAAAATTAAATAGACCACGTGCTAATCGATCGACGGCGTAAGTCGTCACTTATGAACGTACCTTTCGTAAAGCCAACATTGACTCTGACCACTTTCTCGTGGGTTCGAAAGTACGTGGCCGGATTTCCCTTTCAAGGAAAAGTAAATATGCAGTGAAGGATAGGATAAATATTGCCAAGCTAAAGGAACAAACCTCCAACAATTTTTCCAAATGCAATTGAACAAAAAACTGAAAATCTTGAATGAGTGCGGAAATCTGACGCAAATGTGGAAAAGACAAATGAAGATTATACGGGAAACATCCTTCAAGGTACTAGGAACGATGCAGCTGAATAAACAAAAAACATTATTCCATAAAGAGTTTGAAAAAGAATGATGTATACAAGGCTCTGCCAAATCGAAAGACAGGAGCATATAGCGAACTATACAGAGAACTAAGAAATCTTGAAAAACGCATCCACAGACACAAAGTGAGAGAAAACACCAAAAACTTTTTTCGAAACTATACAAGCAAAATATATTTCAGGAAACTCTGCGAGAACACACCGGGTAACCTGCTAACTGAAACACAACAATCCTTGACAGATGGGTAGAACTTCTTAACTGGAGGTGCCACAGGTAGTCAGTGAACCGACTCCAGATTAGTGTTCTGAGAGCTATAGGGGCTCATTACGCGCTTAAAGAAACACAACGCTCCTGGAACAGACAAGATACCCACAGAGCTGTATGAGCACAAGGACCATGTTTCCCTCATATGTTTAAGGTGGTTCAACAGGCGTTTCAACTTGAAAGCAAAAATTAAAGACTAATCTCACTGCTAAATATAGCCTACAAAATATTTTTCAATATTCTGCAAGAACGATTACGCCCATACATAACCGAATTGCGGGGACTACCAAGCAGGATTTATGACTGGAAGAGGTACTACCGATCAGATATTTATAATCGGACAAATTCTTGAGAAAACGCAGGAAAATAATATCACGACATTTCACTTGTTTACAATAATGGCGAACATTAGAAATGTGGTACAAATCCGAAACTCCATATCAAGTGAATTTATTTCGAAAAACGGTCTACGACAAGAGGATGCCTACTATTCAATCTTGTACTTGAAAATGTGATAAGAGACTCTGAAGTAACCAAAAGTACAATAGTTTCAACATCTATAGACGACTTAAAAACGACATTTATACAAATAGAAAAAGCTGCAAAGATTATAGAAAAAATGAAAGTATTAATATCTTCAACGGCGAAATCACTGCACGACAGTATTGAGCTAAACTTAAGCGTTGGCGAGCAAAACTTTGAGGTAGTTGACGAATACACACCTCAAGCGACGCATCCTCGATAGATCGGTAAAAATTGCTGACTGATTGCTCGCGTGCTAACATGAAAGTTTGCAAAGATGAAAAAACTATAAGCCTTTAATTGAAAGGTTTTGCGCAAAATTTTTGGAGCTTTTTGCGATGATGGCTTATGGAGAGAGCGGTACAGACTTTGTATATGCAAATACATTTAAAGGCGTTAACCGGAAGGTTTTTAAAAAGACCATAGCTTGACGATTTGAATTCTGATCAGCCACTAAACTGATATTTCTTTATTTAACTTCCTTTTATACATTATTCTCTTATTTACTTAAATAGTTAATTTCATATCTAGCTTATTCAACAAAAAGTTTATTCTCTTATTGACCTAAAGCGTCGATTTCTTTTCTATCTTATTCGACATATCATAGAAGACCGTTAAGCGGTCTCCTTTGCTTATGATTATTAATAAATTTTGTTTACTCAATAGCTAAATAGTGTGTGATATTGGTGGTGTTAAGTCCCCCACCTTTAAATCCAAGCGTCCCGTCTTCGAATATATATTTTTTTTATTTTATTTTTTTTTTTTTATTTCATCTGGTACAGGTCTATAGAGATGTTTAACATCTGTGCATAGAAACAGGGCATTACAAAAACAATATATTTAACATCTTATTTTCTAATATTATAAATATTCTAGCACGGATAATAGTACATTACACTAAATATTGCGTGACAAAGTTATACATATAAATTATATATTATACCAAGTAAGAGCAAAAATTAATCACTTAATAGATAGCTAAAATTTACTATATTGATAAGTTATTTATCCAGGATTTTAGATTTTTGTTAAGAGATTTTTTATTACATGTTAGAATCTTCAAATTATTAGGAAGCATGTTAAAGTACTTAATTGCTATATAATATGCATTTTTAATGCTAATTGACTTTTTAATTTTTGGTAATGTTAGAGTATTAGCTCTAGTTTGTACTTGTTTGGTAAGATATTTTGATTTACACTTTTCATAGTATTGTATTATAGCCTTAACAATAAAAGTTTTCTTGATGTCAAGTGGCAAATTAGTTTCATAATTGTTTTCAAAGAACTTTAATAAACGGTTTTGCATATTTGTTATAGGCTGCAGAGCATTTTTGTAGGCTCCACCCCAGGCAATTATTCCGTAATTGATTACACTTTCGAAAAGTCCATAGTATATAGTTTTTAAGATTTTTATGTCACCCCATTTACTCAATTTGAAAAAGAGGAAAGCAAAGTATCTGACTTTTTTGGCCAGCTCGTTCACATGAAAATTCCATTTCATATGTGTATCAAAGTACAGACCCAGATATTTGCTGTGATCTACTCTTGTGAGTTCTCTGTTGTTTATATTTAGTATATAATTGACGGGTATACTATCACAATAACTGCCAAAAGTGATGTATGTTGACTTGTCTATGTTAAGAGATAATTGATTACTTCGTAGTTTATTTAGTATCTCCAACCATCTATTCAGTCGTGTTTTAACTTCATTCCAATTTTTACCAGAGCAAAGCACTGCAGTATCATCAGCATAGGCTACGAGAGCCATTTCCGGTAGAGTATTGAAGATGTCATTTATATACATGATAAACAGCAAAGATGATTGATTTGAATTTACAATTTCTTTTAACATTTTTTCTCTTTCTTTATCATTTTTTATTTTAATATATGTAAAGAATTTGTTAATAAAATAACCAATTATGCTAGTGTAGTAAGTGACCACCAAACAGGATTTCTTTTTATTTCCTGTTATATTGGAGTTAGTGTATCATAATTTTCTAATCTTAAATCAACATTTGTTGATTGAATATATTCTGTTACAAAAAAAGGGTTGAATTTTTCTTCTTTCAAATAATTTTAAACTTTTCCAATATTTTGCCTCCTTCAGAGTAATCCCTCTCGAATATAATACACTTTTGTCAACGCCCAATCCTTGAAGCACTTCTGAAATGCACTTGTCGGTATGGCCATCAGCTCTTCTTCTATTTTGGTAGTTGAGGATCGTTGTTGACGTCATTCAACAACTCCTGAGCGATACTAATGCGACATAGGTTTTGCTCAAAATATAGCAATTTCGGAACAAACTTCGCTGTCACACGTTTCATGCCCAAAACATTCGAGAATATTTAATGTTATGATCCGATTGATATACCTCCAGGATGCTCATCGTCATCAATATCTTCTCGGCCTTCTGTAAAGCGCTTGTACCACTTATAAACACGCGGCGAATTTCGCCCACCATGACGATTTTTGAGATATAGCTATTTTTAAGTTTATCGCTGACCGCGGTGGCAAAACCGGCATTGCCATATCAAAGAAAGTATTTTCAGTAAAATCTTTAGAATTTTCAAACCGAATTCAAGAAAATGTCTGCGTTGGCAATATTAAGATTGTTTCTGTTTGGTTTCATCATTTCAATTTCAAAATCAAAACATTGTGATATTTTTAACAGCGAAGTACGCACTAGGTTGCTATAAGCAAATAAAATGGATTTAAACGAACAATTAATAGAGGAAATACGTAAATATGAGTGCCTATACAATTTATCATCACCAAAACTCAAATTTGGAAAGAAGTAGCTAAAATATTATATTTGCCGGGTGAGTCAAAGAAAAGCCTGTTTTATTATAAACTTTATTCTAAAGTATTATAAATATTTGCATTACACAGCTGTAGGAAACGATGGAAAGGACTGCTTGACACGTACAAAAAACGTAAACGTGCACAGCGACTGGCTTCCGGCAGTGCTGCTCCGATTCTGCTACAGTGATTATCGAAAGTAAATATTACATTTTTCATATTTGTATTCTTATAATTCAATATTTTCCACTTAATAGAACCATCGGCAACGTGCCTTTTGACGCAATTATGGAAGAAATAGAATGTTCTATTTCAACAAAAGACCAGTACAAATACTTATCCAGAAGGTTATTACACTCCTCCAAATGCGACAAAACAAAAAAAAGGAATGTAGCAAGGTATGACGTTAGCGATGTGTTCACTGTCATGATGAAGGAGTGCGTGGATACAGTGAAAGAGTTTGCAGCCGTTCCCACAGAACACGAGGGTGCAACGTCACTGTTATTCCAAAGCTTGGCGAGGAACATAAGTGAGGCTAACCTAACCCCTCAACGCATACGACAAATTGAGGCGAAAGTAGTAGCCTTAGTGTATAGTGAATTAGGAAACTAGAAATTACATGTGTTTTACTGAAATAATTTCTTTATGTATATCTTATGAATTGTTTTTTGTTACTCTGTAGTGCAATTGTTATTTTGAAATAAGAACCCTTTTTGTTATTTTATATGAATTTTACTGAATTAAGAAGAAATTTAATAAAAAATGAATAACATTTCACAAAATATATGCTTAATTATTAAATAAATACTCCGCCAATTCGTCTCTCGATGCAAACGCCTCCGCCGTTGAACGGTTGGCTTGCGAAATTCGAAAAGCTGGACTTTGCGAAGTTGTTTGCCTCCAAATTCCAGGAACGAAAGCACCATTTTCCGAATGGTCCACTAACTCTTCAGTAAAATATCCCGAGCTTCTATCTAGCATGAGATAATTAGTAGCACAACTGTTGCTAACACTATTTTATCAATATTTTTTGGTGCTGCATGAATATTGCTATGTAATATTCTCCACCTATTCGCTAATATACCAAACGCATTTTCGATGTAAACTCTGGCGGAAGATAGGTTTTTATTGTGATGTTCCTTCAGAGGAGACAAGTTGCGGCCAGGATATGGACGCATAAGGTTTCCCTTAAGTGGAAAAGCACTGCCCCCCACAAAGAAAAACTGGAAGTCTTTATTTGTACCTAAAAAAGAAAGTATTTGTAATCATAAAAAATTAAGTTATTTCCAAAATACAGATTATTTAATTACTCGGAAGGTGATCGAGAGGAGGCAATACGATGTTTTCTCTTAATATCATTTTCCCAAAAGCACTTTTGGCGAAAATTCCTCCATAGCTTTGACTTTCTACTGCCCCAACATCAACAAAAGTAAATGTATGGTCGGAGTCACAAGCTGTCATTAGAACAATGTTGAATGTTTTTTTGGAATTATAAAAAAGTGAACCACTACGTCTTGGGCAAACTATGTTAATATGTTTGCCATCAATACCACCTAGGCAGTGCGGCATTCCGGTTTTTATATAATAACTACATATATAAAAAAAAATTTATTTATAGAATCAATTTTTATTATTTAGCAAAAATGTAAAGCCCACCTTTCAGAAATGTTTTTCAATTCGGATTGGTTTGGTTGAACAACATACACTGTGTGTAATTCATTCCAAATTGCAGCGCAAGTTTCGTAAATAATTTTCCTCATGGATGAAAATCCAATTTTGTGAGACCTTGCCAGAAATTTAAGACAATATCCTCGAGATAAATACATAAATATAACTTCCTGTTATTTACAATTCTAATATAAATTATAAATATTAATTACATCAATGTAATTCCCAAACGTGTTTCTTCGTTTATCGGTTCTCTTCTCGAACAGCGATGGAGCTTGTCTTTCAATAAGCAAAGAAGAGCATTAAATTTGTGGACACTCATCCTTGTTTCTTGGAAAAGTGCTCTTCATCCATAGATCACAGCGGTTTAAAACAAGTACCGTAAACCCCTAATTCCTCTCTTGTTAAATTCACGGGTCGTATCCACCATCTTCTTCTTGAACGCGATTTAAAATCTATGAATATCTTACACATGTTTAGCATTATATTTAACATTTTTAAAATTTGAATTAATTGAAAAATACAATACCTGGATTCATATTTTCTTAAACTCACAAGCATTAACAGTCATTGTATAAATCTACAAGTAATCGATCCTAAGATTTTCACACGCAAAAATATCCCACTTGGTACGGGTTGTCTCGAAAATTCTACTACTAAAATCACACTTGGTACGGGTTGTCTACTTATATTCTACTACTAAAGTCACACTTGGTACGGGTTGCCAACCAATATTCTGCTACTAAATGACACAAATCTGCTATAGTGTGTTGCCGTGTTATGTTTTAAAATTTATAACTTCAAGAATGTTTTTATTACATATTCAAATACTTTTCGATTGTTCTAATTCCTAAAGATTAAATTTACATAGTATTATTTAAATTATTATTTATTGTATCGAAATATTATTAAATGTTTCCAATTTTATCAAATATATTATTGTGTAACGGTGATTTAGAATATTTTTATATATTATTTATTACTTAGTAGATTGTTTTGATTATTGTTATTGTTCTTGCATTGTACCTCATTTTTTATATATATTTTGGTTTTTGTTCAAATCAAGTTGAATATTTCAACTTATATTGTTAATGTTAAATTGTTAATGTAATTAATATTCATGCACCTGATCTATGTACCTGATTTTATGTATATATCTTTTCGAGTTATAATTTATATTTAGGAATACTCAGAATTTGTACGAAGAGCGCAATTTGCGCCTTACGAAATAAGACGTAAATTTATCGCCCATAGATGGATTGATGATGCAAATGGAAGCCCTGCGTGTCCTCTAAACGATGAAATTTGTTTGACCCACCCTCCTGGTGGCGGTAGGCGGGTGGTTGATGGTGATAATGGAAGCCCCGAGTGTCCTCTAGGTGATCCACTTGGTTTCACCCCCCCGCTCATATACCCCCTTAACTGAAAACACAAAAAAGATATTAAGTAGAAATTTTGAAAATTTCACTTTTTTGTTGATTGCCACTCACCTGTGCAACCTATATCTTAGATTGATGTCTCTAATTAACGTGCACGGTTCCCTGGGGGGGACACTTTCACCGAAGGGGACGAAATCGTCCCCGGCTAAAGGTAAGAAAGGTAATCCAGGGGGTGCCTGGCTTACCGTCACGGGGGGCGGTAAGGTAGGGGGAGTCGGTAGGAGTCTGCCGACAGCAACCCGGGGTAGGGCGGAAGTGCGAGGCGGAATCGCCAGCACTAGCAGAGGAACCTCTGCTAAGTTCATGGGCGTCACGGGGTCCTCGGCGAGCGCTAGGGGCCCGGCGGGGAAGCGAGTGACTGCAGCTAATAAGCTGAAGTCTGATCGTCGACTGGCTGCCAAGATCTTGGAGCGCTACGGTGACAAGCAGGCTGACCAGAAATCTGACCAGCACGCTAGCACACTGGAGTGGGCCAAAAAGGTGCTGAGCGACGTGGGCGACGGTAAAGTGGGGCCGAGCGGGCCCCAAACCTCAATAAAGCGGCAAAGATCGCAGGAGGGGGAATCCTCCCTCGGCAAAAAGCCTCGGGTCGGACCCGCACCTATGTTTAGCGAAATCGCTAAACTCGCAAGCTCAGTGGAGCTTGGGGTGTACGACCGAAGCAGAGGAGATGGAGCCATCTCCCATGACGAGTGGAAGCGGGTAGCGGCTGCTATCTCCGCTGTTTTCATGAAGGTGGTCAGGGGAAGCCCTGGACCACCCCCTAGATGTGAAAGCGCTGGGTGGAACCTCGGCCTTCACAAACTCATTAGGTGTGCCGACGAGCGGTCGGCTCTCCTTTACAAGGAGGCGGTAGCCAGGGTAGGGGAGGTGTGGAAAGGAGCAAGGCTCGTGGCGGTGGCCAAATCGGATCTCCCGATGCGGCCTTGGGCTCGGGTCTGGCTTCCGGCCGAACCTTCCACCCCGGCCGAAATTGAAGAGATGTTGCGGTACTGCAACCCATCTCTCCCCACCCAAGACTGGAGGGTGATCAGGCTGGAGAGGACCGAGGCACCATATCGGCAAGCGCTGATACTCCTGAACAAGGAGTCCCTCGCTCCTCTCAGTGTCACAAAGGGGGCCATAAGCTATGGCTTCGAGAGAGTCGTTCTCAAGACGCTCCCAACAGAAGCCAGGGCGGATGGCCCGCTGCCTCCTGCGGGAGTGGAAGAGAGTGGGAAGGTTCCCCTCTCGAAAATGGACGTCGACCCTGTCCTCTCGGACGCGGTGAGCACGGGGGGCGGATCGTCAAGTGATGGCGGATCCGTCTTCAGTCTCGAGCATCTGTTCGAGGAGGCTGGCGTCGACGATATGGACGATGGTGCGGAACTCGCACTGCTGGAGAGGAGTTTGGAGAATGAAGATCCTCCAAATTAACCTCCAGCACTCAAAGGCGGCCGCCGCCGATTTAGTGCTTCGTCTAGGAAGGGACGAAGCCGACGTTGTCCTTATCCAGGAACCGTGGCTGAGTAGCTATGGCATATCTGGACTAAGGACAAATAGCCATAAGCTCCTGGCGGCAAGCAGCACAGGTAGAACCAGAGCCTGCCTGTTGGTCAGAAATGAACTTAACGTTTTTCTTTTACCTAATTTCAGCAACGAGGACGTCGTCACCGCTAGGCTGGAGGACAGTGCTAGGGAAATCTGGCTTGTCTCAGCCTACATGCCGCACGACGACGAGGTGGAACCACCTCCGAACTTGCTGAGGATGGGTCTGGCAGAGGCCAGACGCAAAGGAGCCGCGGTTATTATAGGCTCGGATGCCAGCTCAAGGCACACCGTCTGGGGGAGCTCGGACACAAACGCAAGAGGTGAGTCACTTTTTGATTTTATTTGTGATGTTGACCCTTTTATAGGGGAAACTGCCCTACTGCGACTACCCTGGCTAAAAAGCTTGAGCGAGTTCAAAGAGCGGCGCTTATCGGAATCTCCGGTGCACTGCGAACCACACCAACGATAGCTCTCAACGCTATATTAAATATAGCACCCGTGGACATTGCCGGTAGGTGCATTGCTGTGAGGTGTGCTATTAGGCTCAGAGAAGCTGGGCTTGTGAAGAGGTCCGAACAAGGACACGCCGCAATTCTCTCCTCCTTCACCTGCATTCCTGAAAATTTGGATCACTGCGTCACGGAGGCCTCTCGGAGGCGGCTTTTTCTCTGCTCATATCCCGACGAGGGAGATGTGGAGGGGAAGAAGCCGCTGGAGAAGAGGCGCGGTGAGTTTTTTCACGGATGGGTCGAAGCTAGGAGGGAAAGTTGGAGGGAGGGTTTTCTGTAAAGAGCTCTCCGTCAATCTTTGCTTCAGGCTACCGGACCACTGTAGCGTTTTTCAGGCGGAAGTGGCCGCGATCAAGGTGGCGGTAGAAGTACTGTTACGTAGTGTAGCTTCGTTTAGAGAGGTGAGCATTCACTCCGACAGCAGAGCGGCAATACAAGCCCTGAGTGCGCGAACCGTGCATTCAAAGCTAGTCAAGGAGTGTCTGTCCTCGCTAGAATTAGCATCAGGCTACTTCAATATCAGGCTCGTTTGGGTGCCTGGTCACAGCGGAATCGCTGGGAATTGCAAGGCCGATGAGCTGGCCAGGGGGGGTACCCTTGCCCCGCTCACATCGGAATGGGATCGAGTTGGTTCTCCACTAACGTCTTGCATTCTCGCTCTGGACCAATGGACCTCGCAGGAGCTCAGCAGACGCTGGTCGGCGACCAGCTCCTGCGCGACTGCGCGATCCTTCTGGCCGAGAGTGGAGCGCAGGAGATCGGGGGATCTTCTCGCCTTGAACAAAGTTCACCTCGCCGCCATGGTAGGAGTTCTCACTGGACACTGTCCAATGGGAACTCATGCGGTGCGGCTTAGAATACTACCCGATGGCAGTTGTCAAAGCTGTATGGAGGAGGGTGAAGTGGAAACATCCCGGCACTTTCTCCTCCATTGTCCAGCTTTTGCTAGGTTGAGATTGAAACATCTCGGCAATCATACTTTTGGCGGTCCAGAAGATCTGGCCGAATCAGATATTGGCCATCTCAACAAGTCATAGGCACAAAGCGCTTTGTCGACATGTAAGGGTCTATTGATCCGACTCATAGGAGTTTTGGGTACCACAACGGACCGGCGTTTAAGCTGTCCAAGTGTGATCCTTCTTAGGATCGACCCGCTAACCTAACCTAACCTAACTGTGCGGCTACATGAATCAAATATCATAATCAGTTTGTGCTACTGCTATTGCTTTAAATAGTATACAGGTTTTTTGTACTTTTGTATATTTAATTTTTAATTTACTATTACATTATTTTTTTGTGCAGTTTTAAATTTTGAAACGTCAAAAAGATTTGTTACATTAATTTTTTCTTCGCTTATTATTTGTTTTAAATCTTCTATCTCTAAAATAAGTGGATTTAAAATTTCATGTTTTGATAGTGTAATAGTTTGCTTTGTATTTTCAAGTTCAGCATTATATAGTTCTTTCATAATTTGTGTTAATTCCGTAATTGTTTTAAATTTTTGTGAGTTAGCAGCAATTCACACTTGTTATTGTTTTCTATAAAGTCATTTACACTGTTTGTTATTTTCATAAAGTTATCCTGGTCTGGTGTGCCTAAAATCCATTTCCAAACCGTTCCCATTTCATTAACCCCTCTTTTTATTCTATTATTGCCAATCATTTATTGCTTTAACAATGTTTCTATTATTCGTTTTTCTGAATCCACACTTCGGTCAATAATTAGTACAATTTCGGCATCAGTTTTGAATTTTTGTATAATATTTGAAATAATGATAAATTCGTCAAATGATATATTGAACCATATTCTTCAAAAATTACTGCAGAGTTTTCCTCAATAAGTATGTTATTTTCTCTTAGATAGGATATATAAAAATATTAATGAAATTTTAATATACATCTTCATAGTGCCTGTAAAATAGTAGGTCTAAATTTTAGTATTATCTATATCGGTTATTTATTTCTATTTTGTATTTTAACTTTATTTCTCAAATATTCTGTTACTGTTTGTGTATTTTAATTAGATTTTAATTTATTCCTTTCTTCATATATTTTTTCATAAAAAATTTCTCCTTTACGATATTTTTTTTTGAAGCCTTTTCTAGTTATGATACTGTAACTGTCCTGAGCAATCTTTAATGTGTTTTTT